ATAAATACTTAATAAAAATTGTTTTTTTAATAATAGTTCCTACCAGCAGTATTAATTCTCAAAATGCTTAATTCTTTATAAGAAAATAAAAATATTATGCATTCTGGCTCAGTTTTGCACCATACTGTACATACATACATACATACATACATACATACATACATACATACATACATACATACATACATACATACTTACATACATACATACATACATACATACATACATACATACATACATACATACATACATACATACATACATACATACATACATACATACAAACATACATACAGGGCTCAAAATAATGAACTTTTATGTTCCTGACAATTTGTTCGTTAAATACTTAGGTTTAAAAGACATGTCCCGAAAAAACCTAACAAAAAAATTTAAGACGTTTAACAACTTTAGACATTTCAAAAGTGCGCTGAAAATTAAAAGAAAGTTTAAAAGATAACTCATCTATAAAAATAAAATTTTAATAAAGATAAAAAAAACTAAACTTAAAAAATTAAAATTTAAAATGGAAAATACTTTATATTACTTTTTATAAATATAATTTTTAAATTTTTATAAATATATAAATTGTATAAACATATATTTTTTATAAATATATTATTTTATAAGTTATAAATATACTAATTACATAAATTATTATGGGTATTGCTTATTATTTTGTTAAATAAAGTAACAAATTACTTCTAATTTGTTTAAAATTAAATTTATCTAAATTATTAAAGAATATTACAGATGATTTCATTAATATAAATATGTATTTTTCATGATTAATCTTTACAAACTTTTTTTTCAATGATTAATTTTATAAACACTTTTAATAGCAAAAAAATATGGCACAAAAACAAATGCTATATAGCATAACTCAAGTTTAATTAAGTAATAAAAAGTTCTGGTTTCTAAAAGCAATAATAGAACTACTACGTTAAAATTTTTATAAAATAAATTTAGAAGGGGTTTAAAGACTTAAATATTTATTTAAAATTTATAAAAACCATCTAACAAAAATTTAAATAAAGATGAAATATAACTTTAAATTATTAATAATTAATTGTTACAATTTAATATGATAACTTTACTCAAAAACTTTATTCAAAATAATTTTTTTAGCAGATTTAAAAGGTTAAGCAGATTTTAAAAAATGAATTAGTTCAAAAAATGATGTATTTTATTAACATAACTGCACCTTCAACTTCATTTTCTGTTATGTATAAAAAATAAAAAGTTCATAAAACTTCAAAAAAATTTATATATATAAATTTCATATAGTATATACACTATAATAAATTTACTAATAATGTTGAAACAACTAAAACAATTATAAAATAAATGCACACAAAATACAATGTTCAATATCTAGCAGCTATTTCGAGCCCTGCATACATACATACATACATACATACATACATACATACATACATACATACATACATACATACATATTAGTAAGCAACTGAGGTTGATATTTGACCGAGGCTGGGGCTGGGTTTGATAAAATAAAACCAGGGTTGGGTTTGTGACCAGGGTTGCATAAACATTTATATATCTTAAAGTATATCTTTATAATTCAAAACTCATGTTACATTTTGTATATATATGCATATATAAATCTCATTATTAAACATCACCATCATGATCATCGTCATTGTCATTATCATCATCATCATCATCATCATCATCATCATCATCATCATCATCATCATCATCATCATCATCATCATCATCATCATCACCATCATCATCATCATCATCATCATCATCATCATCATCATCATCATCATCATCATCATCATCATCATCATCATCATCATCATCATCATCATCACGGTTTAGCCTTCCTTTTTTATGCTGTTTCTCTAATATAAACAATCTAAACATTAATGTTGTTACCTAAATCACATTAATATTTCCTAACAAAATTGTTCGATACAATGTTTTTTTTTATCTGTCTTAATGTGCCTCCTTTTTTTGTCATACTAGAGTCACACCACACATTCATCTGATCATCTTCTCTTTCGGCAAATACTACACCATATAAATAATGTTTATATAAATATAAAAGGATATTGTATGCCAGCATCTAAATAAACAGCAAACATATATGTTTACATCCATAATATGTATGCATAAAGCACATCTCAGAAGCTTTTATTACTTCTGGAATAAAAAATAGGAAGCTTTTATTCCTTCTCTTCAATTTTAAGTCATGCCTCATTTTACTCCGCATTTTTCAAATTCTTGAGCAGTTGCTTTATAAAATATTAATCTTTTTTTTTTAAATCTTTTTTACAAGAACATCTCTCTTAAGAACAAGTGTCCTTTTATTATTGCAAGAAGAAGAATGTAAAAAAGTCCTGTCTGATGTTATGCTCTGCTATTCACAGTTTACTAAATCACAAGGTTCTATTTTTGCTCCTGTATTGTTTTTTATCTACAATAACAATCTTTATAAAAAGTTCTTTCCTTCCACATGAAAAAAAAACCTTATAACTCTTACCCATCCTATCTTTACCCATGTTTTTCTTTTGTATATAACCAACAACTTTTCAAGTCTTCAGTTAACCGTTTCCTAGTATTTTAACTCATTCTCTATTTTAAAGTAACTCATAACATAATAGTGGTTACTTGTAGTAAGTGACCGGGACCCTGGCCCTGGTAAAAAATGAGACTTTTTGCTAATCCGGTCCCGCCCCGGCCCTAGCAAAATTACAAGATTTAGCAGGGTTGATAGCCGGGGCTAGAAATAAATTTATAATTCTTTATATATTATAATTTTATACTTACATTTACTGTTTATTAAATTCTGGCATATATTTATGCTAGTATTTAATAGATAGGGATATTAGTATTTAATAAATAGGGACAGATACACTAAAAGGATGCAACTTGTTGAATAAGAAGCCGAGCAAGAATCAGTTTTGGTTTATTGTTATAGAGATGATAGCTCTCTATTACAATAAACCAAAGGTTTTAGCCTAAATCAGGCTTTAGCCTTCCTCTTTAATCCATCTCTAATCAGAGAAACAGCATAAAAAAGGAAGGCTAAAGCCAGATGATGTCATCATTATCAGCAGATGATGATGATGATGATCATGAGCATATTGATCATAATGATGTTTATAAATGCATATATACAAAATCAAACATAAATTTTGAAGAAAAAAAATGTACTTTAGAATGTATAAATGTTTATGCAACCCCGGTCACAAACCCGGCCCTGGCTATATTTTATCAAACCCAACCCTGGCCCCGGTCAAATATCAACCCCAGTTGTTTACTAGTTGCTTGCAATCTTGTTGGAAGTAAATTAGAATTTAAAAATATATAAATATATACCAGTATTTAATAAATAGTAAATGTAAGCATAAAATAATAATATATAAAGTATTATAATTTTTTTTCTAGCCCCAGCTATCAACCCTTCCTAAATCTTATAATTTTGCTTGAGCCGGGTTTGGAATAAATGTAACTTTTAGCTGGGGCCGGGGAGTACAAACCTTTTGGGATACTTTTGTTCCAAGGCTCCAATCACTGCAAATTTTTATATAATTTTTTTTCACATTCTCATTTGATTTAAGCATGAACAAACTTGAATTTAGACAAATAATGATAATTTTTTACTAAAATGACTTGAATTAAATCTCACCTGCTTTTAAAATAGACTTAGACAACCCTCTCGATTTTAATTTAGTTTATATAAAATTGAGATCTAATAAACATTTTTTATGATACCTGTGACTGAAAATATTTTCTAATTTTATGTGCTTTGTTTTAAAGTCCATTTTTTGAAACTATTTTTCTGTATCTTTGTTAAGATGTCCACTATATTTTCTCCACCTTCAAAATTGCATATCTTTTTTTCAAGTTAACCTCAGATAATAAATTTGGTATCAAAATTTGTCATTTAATAATCTCTATATATTAGAATTAATTTGGTTTAAAATTTTTTTTTATAAAAAAGCTAGAACCTTGAGGTTTTTTGCATCAATTAGTTTGACTCGACTTCTTTCGAATCATATATAAAAAGTACAACTTTTAATATGGCTTCTTTTATATATTATTCATGTCTTAAGACCACTCTTGATAAAAAAATTTGCCGCTGGACAAGTTTTTTCAAAATTAGTTTTTAAAGGTAAGTACCAAAATACATCAAATTTGTTTGAAAGTTTTATAGATTAAAAAAATGATAAAGAATCTAATAGAATGGGGAACCTTTTTAACATTTATACATAATTTCTCTGCGTTTAAAAGCTTTAAGGTCAAAGTTCTCTGCGTTTAAAAACTTTAAGGTCAGTTTATTTAAAAAAAAAAAACTTTTCCTTAAAAATTTCCCTGTGAAAAAAAGCAAGTTTAGCCCTTCTTCAATTCTTATCAAGTATTTACTTATGTTTTCTTGAAAAAATGAAATAAATACGTTTTTATTCCTTTGAGTATCATCTGTTTTGATTTTTGAGCTTGATTTTGATGTTTTTTTAATGTTATTTTAGTGCCATTTTACGCCAAATTTTCCATACTAAAGGACAAGTCGTTTTGTCAAAAAACTACCAGTTTTTCCAGCACAAAAAATGCAATAACTTTGGATCCAATTAACTTTTGAAGTTAAAAGAACCCTCATTTTTTAAGTCTTTCTAAGTTCTATACAGCTATGTTTATTATATATAAATACATTGATATAAAAAAAATCCTCTGGAATGGCGAATGTATGTATGTATGTATGTATGTATGTATGTATGTATGTATGTATGTATGTATGTATGTATGTATGTATGTATGTATGTATGTATGTATGTATGTATGTATGTATGCATGTATCGATTTTATGTTTGAAAAAAACACCTCGAATTATGAACTCAAGATACTTTAACTTTATACTACATTTTTGTATGCAATATAATGATAAATTTAGTAATTAAAAAAAATTAAACTTTTTTATAATGAAACTCTTGTGTTTGAATTTCACTATATATAATGTAAATTAAACTTACTTTAACTTTTTGATTTATTTCAGCACCAAGTTCCATTTTTATCATATATTTTCAATCAATTGTTCAAAAAATCATTTGTGCTAGAATGTTTCTCATTTACATTAGCTCTTAATAAATATATGATAAATAAAAAACTAATTTCCAAAAAAAAAACATGAATTTTTAAATTTCAACATCAAGTAACGAACGGCTATTTCCTGAGATCGATCCCTGTTTTGATTGGTTAAAAATTTTGAGTTTCGCAGAGTCCGATTTTGAAACCTCTCGTTAGCCGGACTCTAAGACTTGAGGAAATTTTTAACGCATGCGTTGTTTTAGTAGGTTTAAATTCTAAACCTTGTTTTAAATTTAAAAACAACACGCGTTCTTCTAATAGGTGAACTTAGAACTTGTTTATTAAATTTGAAAAATAATAAATTACAATGGTGAGTTTTTCTATTAATTATAATAATTCTTATATGATGGAAAAAGATTATAAAAATTCTTTTATAACAAAATCTTATATTTACCTTCATTCAAAATAAATAGAAGGTTATAGAAGTCCATGTTTACATTTACATTAAGATATATAAAAAGTTATAGATTTCTATCTTATATTTGCGATGTCATTATAATATATCTATAATCATATTCATAATATTGATATAAGAAGAAATGAATGTTTATCATTTATACATTTTTGTTCTATTTATACTTTTATATTCTATAATAATGATATTAGATAGGATGTATGCATATTAATTATAAATTTTATTCTATATTGATTATATCTGTATAGAATTAAAATCTTTCATAGATAGTATATATACATAACTAATACAAAATATGTTATATTGATTAAAATGTTGTCTACTTAACTCATTAATAAAAGTCAGTTCATGTGATTAGAAATTATAATTGTAAAGATGTGTTCAAAACAAATTCCTGAAAAATTTCTGATGAATAATGTATCAAAGCAAGTCATGCTTTTGTTGAGAATAGTGAGTGTTTTTTCTTTAAAGTATTTGCTACCTTAACATCAGTTAATCAAATGGTCAAATGAATCTCTTTTCATAATAAAATTGCTACTAATTATCATTTTGTAGAGTGCATTTTAGTTATCAAAGTGATAAATAGCGATAGCTTGCCTCATAAGCGAGAAGTTCTGAGATCAATCCACCACGCTCCTGGTAGTGCTTTGCTTAACTTGTGAACCTTGACAAACAACTTTAAAACAATGTTAGAAACAATAAAACTTTACTGAGATAATTGCCATAATTATTAAAGATAAAATAAAAATGAAAATGCAAAATGATGGAATAATTGTCTTCATTAATTTCATTACCAAAAATTGCTCAAGAATTTGAATTTATAAATAGCAATGTTTAAATAGGATGATTTAAAAGGTAGGTCCTACATTTTAATAAAAACTTTAAATGCACAATATCTTGTGAAGACACTCTAGGTCTATGTTTTCTTCAATATTGCGAACCTACTTTTGTATCATTCAAAATATAGCTAACTGTCTGTGAATTCTCCAGTTACATCTTTTTAATTATATTAAATATAACTACAAGATTTTATGGAGTTATTAAATTAAAATCCATTATATTACCCAGATGTAGTTTCATATATGTCTTTTTTTCAGATGTAGTTACATTCGGAAAAAAATAATATAATGCGTTATATTAACCAGATGTAGTTTCATATGGTTTTTTTAAGATGTAGTTACATCTGGAAAATAATATTAAACATAGTAATTTAATTTAAAATTTAAACATTGTAATTTCATATATGAGTTTTTTTTCGATGTAGTTACATCTGGAGAAAATTCTTCCAAACATTGTTGGAGAAAAATTACCAGATGGATTACAGGCTGGGAGAAAATTACCAGATATAGTTACATCTTCCTAAAGATGTTGTTAGGGATCATTGAATTTCCAGATAATACTGAACAAATGTTGGTGGAATAAAAAAAATACAGATGATCTTGAACAAAAGTATACAAATGATCATAGACTACTCTACAGATGTTGTTGGACAAATGTAGTAATCTTTTACTAGGTTTTATAATTAGGATAAAGTATTTTATTTGCATAATTAAATTGAAGTGTATTAATAAAATTTAATTATCAAGTTTTTAATTAAGTTAATAAAATTTTCTTAAAATTAAAGTCGAAAGCAACAACAAGCTAACATCTAGTTGTATAAAACATCTTTAATAAATATTTTGATTGTGTTTTTAAAGCTGAATTAGGTTTTTCCAAGCTCTATGCAATCATGTTAATTATATACAAGTATGCAGCCAAAAAAAAAATATATCAATGATGGTAAAGGTATTTCTTAAGAAGTTAATATATTTTGCATTTTGTTTTATATATATAGTTGACGGGGTCTTTAAGTTAGACTTGGCAGTTCTGTTCTTTTTATATTCGATTTATAACGTTATGAAATAATGGCTTTTTTATGTATAAACATATTAAGTACAAAAAATTAATAAAATTAAATATTAGGTACAAAAAGGATAATTATGCAGTAAACTTTTTGTAAAAACAAAGCAGTTTTAATTTTTATAGTTTTAATTATATGCAGAACCAGGAATAATAACATTATAAGTAGGTCCTCTTATATTTCTTTTAGACCACAATCTCAGTGTGTATGCACTGTAAACAATAGTATCAACTATTGTTTACAGTGCACTGTCTTTCAGTATTTTAATGAAGAACGAAAAAAAAAAAAAATTAAAAATGTTTAAAACATTTTTACAATCCAGTTATGTAAACAATGTCATGAAGTATATCTACACTTGAACATAAAATAATAAATTATTACATCATGTAGAGTAATGCAGGATAACTGGATCTAAAGCAAAATGTTGCATGGTTTGTTTTGTTTTCAAAGATACATATAAAATATATATATTTTTTTTTAAAGAAGTAAAAGTAATAGATGCAAAAACAAAAAAAAATTGCAAAAGCTACATCTGTTGTGTAGTCCTAGATCATTTATATTTTTCTTTAACTCCAACAATATTTGTCCAATATTATCTGGAAATTCAATGACCCTTAGCAACATTTTCAGGAAGATGTAACTACATCTAAGAATTTTCCTAAAGTCCAATAACATCTGGAATAATTTCTTTCAGATATTTTGAAAGAAAATAATATATATATATATATATATATATATATATATATATATATATATATATATATATATATATATATATATATATATATATATATATATATATATATATATATATATATATATATATATATATATATATATATATATATATATATATATATATATATATATATATATATATATATATATATATAAATATAAATATATATATATATATTAATAATAATAATAATATTAATTAATGCTGTTGAGATAAAGTGCCAGACAATATCTATGACAGCCGGTATAAATTAATTAATGAACAAGTTAGTTCAGTCACTAAATAATAAAAAACGTTAATAATAAGCTTTCTTGGTTTTTATCTTGTTTTTTATTGCTTCTAAGTCGACCGATTGCAAGTTTAATTTGAAGCTTTTAACTGTAGTAGATTGAACAACTTCGGCTGGTAGACTATTCCATCCATCGACAACTCTATTGCTGAAAAAATATTGCCTTTTCAAACAATTTCTGACCAATTCGATGTTTTGCTCCTCTAATGTTAGCTGCAGGACCTGATGAGCAAGTAGAGTTCATTGTTTGATTTTGTTTAATATCAATGATTTCAATACCTTTAAATATTTTGAATTGCTGGATTAAATCGCACCTTAGCCTTCTAGTCTCCAAAGTAGTCAAACCCAAAATTTCCAATCTTTTTTTGTACTCAAGATGTCTTAGCTCCGGTATCATTTTGGTAGCTCTTCGTTGGACTTTTTCTAGTTCATTAATATCTTTTGTATAATACAGACTCCATGCTTGAATTGAAAACTCCAAATTTGGTCTAACATATGTACAATACAGTGTTTTTATTAGATCTTTATCCTTGTACTTGAATGTATTACTTAGTAGTGAGAGTATACTATTTGCTTTACTAGCTGCATATTTTACTTGTTTGGCCCATTTTAAATCACTTGATATATCAACACCAATGTCTTTTTCTAATTTTGACTTTTCAATTTCCATTAATGTATTGTTATCATTCATAAAATATGAATATTCGTTATTATTTGAACCAAAGTGCATAATTTTACATATTTCAAGATTTAATCCTAATTTCCATTTTGTTGACCATTTGTCAAGTTTATTCATATCATTTTGAAACAATTGTGAATCATTTTGAGAAGAAATAGGTGCAATTATCTTATTATCATCAGCATATAAACGACATTCATTAATAAAATTTTCTGGTAAATCATTTATAAATACCAAAAAAAAGAGAGGACCTAGAACAAACCCTTGTGGTACACCACTAAGTACATCAACCCAATCTGTCACACTTTTACCTAAAACCACTCTTTGTTTTCTGTTAGCTAAAAAACAGACTATCCACGTAAGAAGTTTACCAGAAATACCAAAGTTTACCAGAAATACCAAAAGTCAATAACTTGGATAATAACTTTTTATGTGAAACACTATCAAAAGCTTTTTTAAAATCTGTGTACAATGCATCTACCGGTGTTCTATTGTGGAACGCATCTGTTAAAATATCTAGGTATTCTAATAGGTTTGTTGTTACAGCTCTTGCTTTTCATAAAACCATGTTGTTTTTTTGAAAGTAAATTATTTTTTATGAGATGTTGCATGATACAATCAGCTATTATTCTTTCTAACACTTTACATGGTATTGAAGTTAACGAGACTGGTCTGTAGTTAGATGCTTTTAATTTGCTTCCTTTTTTAAAAAGTGGCATTACATTTGCCTTCTTCCACATATCTGGTAGGGTGCCTGTTTCCATCGATTTTTTGAAAATTAAATATAATGGGTATGATATTGACGAGCTGCATTCTTTTAAAACATGGATGAACAAAATCAAAACTGACTGATTTTGATTTATCAAGTGCTTGAAGTCTAGTTTGAACATCATTTTGTGTTATTAAAACTGTGTTTAATAATAAATTTGAAGTTATATATTGAAACTCAATAATATTTGTACAATTATCATTAACATACACAGAATGAAAATATTTATTTAGTTCAGTAGCTATAGCGAATTGATCATTTATGATTTCCCCATTATCAATTTCCAGAGCTCGAA